CTCTTTCCCACAAGTTAATAAGGCTGTAAAAAGGAGAGAACTGAAATGGCCAGCCAGTCAAATTATAGAATATTGAAAAGGTCAGAGCAGTACAGCACAGAGGAAAAAAAAATTATGGAATATATGGTGCATTAAAATTCTTGTGACAATGATTATAACAAGAATGGAAAAGGATACCCATTTATGTTATTTCAATCTAGAGAACCCCACAGGATGGTATCCTGGGGACAGCAATCATTTACGCATCCCTGAATCATACATGTGAAAATACCTGTTTATGCTGTTTTTTGCTTAAAAAAATAATTACACAAAAAATATTCTAATATACTACAAATAAGAGCATTAAAAGGAAGCTTTTCATCATAGAAAATAGGCATTAATATTGTTAACATTTTAGTAGTACTTCATATTTGAAGCTCAAGAAAAGGTTCTTTACAAGGAAAATTTGTTGTTCATGTGAGATTTTGTTGGACTATTTCCTCATTTAACATTTCTTTCTTCAAAATAAAATAGGAGAGTAGGACCAAATGAATTAAGCTCTTTCAAGACCCTTAAGGGTATAGAATATCCTGAAAGAGCAAGTAGGAGTTTATTTGAATATGTTGCATGATCTATATAAAACTTGTTTTGCACTTAGAATGTGTGATGTTGGTCAACATAAAGAATCTTTCCTTCTGCTATTTCCTCAGTAGAAAGATAGAAAGCAAGAGAGAGAGAAGTAATACTTAAATCAGAAATTCTGAATTTATTGTTTTCAGGTGTGCAATAATGATTACTCATTTTAAAAATTGTTTTAATACGTATTTTAGAATTTCTTACAGAACAATTGTATTCAGTTTTGTAGTCTGTAAAGAGAGATCTATTTTAAACCTTAGCTTTGCACTTTCTGTAGATATTTTATTTCACTAACATTGCAAACATTTTATAGTCCAAAGCTATAGTCAAAGGCATCATTAGTAAGAATGCCAAATATGTTTAGAAACAGGAAATGAATTATCATGATCTCTTTAAGACAAACCAGAATCTGGATTAAATACGTTTAAAATCAGTAGTTCTCAAATTTCAACATGCTGAAGAAAAATCATCCAGTGAATCCTGGGCCCTACTTTGTGGAAGTCTCATCCAGTAGGTCTGGAATGAAACTCAGGTATATGAATCTTTACGAGGTGCCCACAGGTGATTTTGATGTAGGTGAACACTGGAACACTGGTATAGACAACCTCATTGTGCAAAGAGCTTAGTGAAATCCTCAGTTAAAGTGAAATGGTTCCAACCAATCCACAGAGAGTGAAGGAGGGGAACTCAACTTAAAGCCACAATGCTCAAGTGAGGTTAGGGCAGGAAAAGGGAATTGAGGTTCCAGAGTATTGAAGCATAAAAGGGCCTGCAACATCCACTTGTACTCACAAATAGGGTCAAATCTGAGGCTGACCAGACAGGAATGGTCACCTGTGATAGGAAATGCTTATCAGTTTAGCATTTTCAAGCTTGGTTTTTGAGGCTGAACCAATGGGGCTGCATTTTCTAGCCCACTGAAAACACAGTTTTATGCAGTGAAAAGTGGTAAAGCACAACCCTCTTAAGAGGGGGAATCTAGGACTTGCATTTTAAGACTCTTTCCTCCATACCCAGAGCTCAGATTGCTGAAAGTCAAAGGAGGAAAGGGACGACAGTGAGAAAGAAGTGGAGGAAGAGCCGGAATCTGTGGATCCTGCTTTGGTTTTGAATCTGGAGATTTCTGAGATTCATTGAGGGTTGAAATTCTGTCAGTTGCTCTAGGTCTGTGAATTGAACTGTATGTTAGTAGGGGTGAGAGAACATTAGACTCCCTCAGCTGCTTGGTTCCTGGAGATGTACAAGTTCTTTTTTTCGAGCTGAGCAAAATGGTTATGTAATTGCATACTTCTCATAATTATTGAGTAATTATATACTTCTTATAATTACTGAGTAATCATTGTTGTATAACTAGAACTTAATGTTACAACTAATTGTATAATTACCATGTATTAATGTTGTTATCTGGGAAACTTAGAATAAAGTGGTACTTAATATATTTCCCTTTGCCATGTCATTTTCAAAGCTAGCAATAGTGTTTGTTTTACAGCTCAAAATTTTCTTCAAAAACAAACAAAATGCACGGGAAAAATCTTCACCAATATTGTAATCATAGATGTGTACTCATTGATCTTTTATTTGTACCTTGCTAGACATTTTTATAATTGCATTCTCATGGCTTAATTTTAGAATTTTCGTTGTTGTTTTGCAAATTTCAATTTCGTAGACGATATGCAGTTCTTCTACTTCAGAGTCAATTGAGCATCAGCCTAGGTCTCTGTAGGATAGGCTGACCTTTTTGAAATTTTACAACTGGGCATGTGACAATAACAACAGTTGTTTCAGCTATAACTGAAGATGTTTCCCAGGAACTATCTCATGAGAACTTCAGGAGATCTTCTGATACTGATAATGTAATTTTCCTTAGGCAATGGTTAGAAGGGACTTGTATTTAATCTTAACCAGGTTTCTTGTGTGCAGAAACTATGTCTTAGGCATTCAGGGCACGGTCTCATCAGCGCCTAGCTCAATAATCTTCAGTGGAATAAAGCTGACTAGTTAATTGTAAAGAACCTATGAAAGCGAAAATGATATAATTTGGAAATATCTTTTTAATGCATAAAGAAATTATCAAAGGCTGCTTTGTAGGTTTCAAAACATCTTACTGGTGTATATTACACATATATAAGAGTACATTATCTGTTTCTATTTTAGGAATTTGAAATCATTCTTTAAGCTATGAATATGCCTCATCTAGCTTTACTGAAAGAGATACAAATTATCATTGACATGCTTTTGCACACAGTACCATTTATTCCCTTTGAAATCAACCACTCATCTGGATGTGCCAATTTTAAGCCCAGAGTAAAAAAAAAGTATATTGTATACCACTAGGGATTTTTTTCTGGTCATGAAAAACACTTAACACCCATGTATTTTGCAACAATAAAATTTTCAACTACTTCCTCTGTCCCAAAAGTATTATAAGTATCTTTTTTAAAAAATGTTTTATAATTTCAGTTTTTGTCTTCCTTACCACATTTCATGAAAATGTTCAAGTCATAACAAGATATCAGAGCCTCTTTTGCATTATTTGATCTTCATTAATTTCAGTTTGAAGTGTAGTGTGGTGGGACAATGGCATGACAGTAGTGAGTGAGATTAGTGTTGCTTTGTTAAAAACCTTAAAATTTTTTAAATAATATATTGTTAGATTGGGAGGGGTAGATAATTTAATAGGTAGATAATAGCTACAGAGAAAATGAAATACAGGGTATATAATTCTCAATCACTTGCTAATTCTAAATGTTTGAAATGTATGAGTTGTATGGATTACAACAAAAACAGTAACGTCATTCCTATCTGCTGTTATTTTGTGCTGAGTATGGTAAGCAAATTATTTCACTTAACTTTCACAATAACACTACAATGTAAGTCCTGTATTATCATTCTCAGTTCACAAATGAATAAGCAGGGGTTCAGAAATATTAAGTGACTTAGCAAAGTGCACATTACTAAAAAAGTAGAAAGAGCGATTCAAATACAGGACTCTCTGACAACTAAATTTATTTTCTTTCCTTTGCACTATACTTTGCTACTAAACTGTGCTAAAATATGATATTTTTTTAGTTAATGCGGTCATTAAGTTTTATTTACTATACAACATGATAACTTTCAATATGTGACCATCTTCTATTTTTTAAACGTAATCAATAAAGATTATAATGCTATGTGGAGATCTTACAAATATTCTTGCTTTTCCCCCTGAAGTCCCATATCTTGGGTTTTTGTTTTGTTTTGTTTTGTTTTCATTTGCCTATATCTACTGAAGTGTAGAGAAGATTAAAAGTATATAAAATAAAAAGTGTTTTGGCAAAGGAAGAAGGATATTTGAAGTAAATATTGGTATTCCTAGTGGTTCATTTTTCTGTGTTTTAAATTATAACATTCCTAAAATTGATCAAAATTAAGCAGCATTTTGGAAAAATTTCCTCATGTAAACTTTTCAGGAAAGTATTGAATATAGAAAGTGAAAGAAATGTTACAGCTTTTAGTTGTAGCCCTATTCTTATTTTAACCTTAGTTTCTGACTCTTCTTATCTTTGAAAGTAACCCAGTGGTAAAGGAGAGAGAGAAAATACTGCTATCAGGCAGCAGTGCTTTCCTTTATCCTGGAGATCTTGAGATTTGAGAGTGGGTTTGCTTCAGCTTTGGAAGGGTGGTGGTGGTGACCTGGGGGAAGATACATTGAACGTAATTATTTTATACAGCCAGTGAGCATCTGTATTTTCCCATAAACCTAAGAAAAATAGACCTTCTGGTCAAGGTGGGCATAAATTATCTCCCATTCCTAGTTACTTTTCAGGGTATTCTGACTAATTCTAATCTGAAGAAGCATTAGAAAGAAAGAAGTCAACCCACCTCTCAAGCAGAATGAGCAGAAAATACCTCAATTGACGATATATAAAATATCTGACCCATATCTGAGTATACTATTTATATCCAGAACCACTCTATTGGAGAGAAGAGTGTTATTTCTTCCTTTCAGCATATCAAAAAACATGTATGAAAAAAACACTTTAAAAAGTATAAGTAACTCATCAGGTGATCAATTTATATGACTATACATTATTTTGGCTCATGCATGGTACTTGTGACATGACTTAATGCTACATTTATCTTATAAGATCAATCAAATTATTTTGATCACTGTGATGAGTGAATTAGATTTGTTAACCCATGTAACATTTTTGTTCATAAGGTAGTAAAATAAAAGTTTTCTTCATTTATTCATGTTTATAGGAGCATGTGCAATGCTTCTCAGGGTGGTGATATTATAGTTCTATTTGGTACAGTATATTTAGAGACGCAAGAAAATATTCAAGTAATAGCAGGAAGGAACCTTTAAATACACACTAATTGTAGTAATTTTCTTTTTTAATCAGCAGGTAATAACTACACTCTTCTGAATGGCACAAAAGTAATGTACAGTGGTGAAGAGACCAACCTTTGGGTGCTCATCAATGGGTTGATTCCTTTTACTAACTATACTGTACAAGTGAATATTTCAAACAGCCAAGGAAGTTTGATAACTGATCCTATAATGATTGCAATGCCTCCAGGGGGTAAGTCTAGGAAAAATGTAACCTATCGAATTTATATAAGTACATTAGAACTAACTCTCTATTGATCACCCTGTTTATTGTTGGAGTTAATTTTTTTTTTTCTTATTTTAGAACTTAGAGGCTCAGTTGTATTTCTGGTTCTTCTGGTTGTTGTTCTGTTTTATTGATGTTATTTCACTGTTTTGTTGAGATTGTTTTCATCTGACACTGTGTGTGTTAAGGATGGCCCTTGAACTTGTATATGTCCTGTACAGTCACACATGACTCTGGATTTCTGCATGCTAAGAAGATTGGGAAATGCTTTTAGTTGAGACTTCACTTAGATTTAAATCCTATTTGCAGTTTGAGCTTTTAGTTTCTTCTGTAAATGGCTTCCATTTCTGGTATTCTGAAGAGCTAGTTTAGATGGATACTTAAAACCATTTTTCCATCTGACAAAAAAGAGTAGGGTGCAGGTGATAGAACAGCAAAACTCGATTTGAACCATAGAAAAACACCTTTAAATCCTTGAACAATTATTATAATACTATAAGAAAGAGACTGGCAGTGGTGGGAAACTGCCAGGGGAGGGGGAGTAGGATTGGCAGTTGAGGGAAGCTGCCAGGGGAGAGGGGACATACCTCAACAACAAGGCTACCTACATAATGAGCATTCGTATACCTAACCCTGAATTGTACCCCACATCTTTAAAATAAAAAATTGTAAAGTTAAAAAAAAATCCTTTGTCCTAATGATTAACAGTTCAGCAGTGCCACATTCATATGTGAAATGGGCTGGAATGTGGATATTTTTATTTTAAAATTTTATATAAAAATGGACCTAATTCATTCACAATTACCATTATTTTGATCTACAATCAACCCATTGTTTTAACTATTTGTGGGAGCTAATTGGTAAGAAGAAAACTCCCTCTAGGATTGACATGGATGGCCCTTGGACAGAAAGCATGCCTAACATCCAGGAATGTGTGTTTTCTGAAAATATTGAAGGATACACCAGGACATCTAACGTCTGCCCTGAAGCCCAGTTTCCAGGAAACAGTGTGCTCTGGACTGAGGGAGAATGTTAAAATCTTGTTGTCAGCAATCTGCAGGGCAGGAAAATCCCCATCCAGTCACGAAGAGTATAAGAACAGTGAATGCCTCATCACTGGAGAAAAATAAATGTGGACCTGCAGTTAGTGTAGAACCTCTTCCCCCAATAAAAGATTCATTACCTGATATATCATAAAAACCACTCACTATCATCTACCTTTTAAGACATTTTTAGCTTTAATGAATGAATGTTTACTAAAACACTTGAAACTCTAAATGTCAGAAGCCACATTATTTAAGAAAATAATGATTACAAGAAACTTTGGGGACTGATCAACTCATATTAGTATCATATGTCATGAACCAATCATTTAAAAAGAAAATTAAATTTAAATAAATGTGTGTTTAAGAATAGAGACCAAAGCACAAAGCAAAACAAAACCCCCCATGAAGGAAACCTTGGGTATGCATATCTTTACTTTTCACTCTAACCCACATGCTAGAGGGGAGAAAAAACTATGGTGACCCTAAACCTTATTATGTGTTACTCTTTATTGACATTTAGAAATTAAAGAGTAATCAGTGGCATAGGGAGATTTTAGTGATATAGTAATACCTCCTCAACAGGGTATATAAAATACTTAATAAGTTAATATTTATTTTATGGTATTTACACTGATTTAGATATTTTGTAATTCACAGTAATTTATGTCATATTGAGAAAATAGAGCTAATTTAATTCATTGTTCATGCATTTAAGAATGTATAATCTAATAATTAGATGTACATATATAATGATTCAGTTAAAGGTAGCAAGCTCCTATTGCTAACTCAGTATGCACTATATGAAGATATCTGTCTTAGAAGGGTTAGCATTATGCAAACTAAAATATTGTTTTATAGTGGTGCAGTAGAACTGAGGCAAACTGTTAACTGAGGCTTATCTTCACCTCTGCACTGTGGCTGCTTATCTGTGTCATTATCATAACGCTCTGTGGGCCCACACTTCCTGGGGCTCATGCACTCACTCTCTTTATATCTTCAGAAATCCAGAATTTGGGAGATAGCCCTTCACCAAAGAGGAAGCAAATGTCTTTAAAGACAGATAGTGATTTGCTAGAGTTTATTACAGCCATTAGGACATACTTTCTTTTATCATTAGATTGTTGTTGATTACAATTAGGAAACTTATAGCTTTGAAATTATCTTTTTTATGACCTTGTAGCAGTTTAAAGGTGATACTTCATTGATTAAATAGGTTTTAGTTCATGCTTCCTTTTACTTAATGATCTGAAAACATATTATCCTGATTTACACATAAAAATCATGCCGAAAAGCATGTGGCATTTGCTGGAATATGTGTGTTTAAGTAGAATTAAATTAGTACTGAGAGTTATTAAAGAAATCTTCCATGTCTTTGTCCAGTGAACTGTGTTTCATATTGAAATGAATAATAAATGAACCAATATACAGAATTGAACCAACTTATGGACATAGAAGGTCCTATATTCTATTTACTTTTCCATTATATTTGGATTATTATCATTATTGCTATTTCCTTGATTTCAATATTAGATCTCTTTTATGGTGGTGTTGAATTTCTAGTATCTTTCAATGCTGGATGATGCAAGATTTGTAATAATACCCTTAGCTATGTTTTCTTCTCAGTATTGTTTAAAAACATAATAACAGAAGGTTTAAGCAAAATAAAAATGCTATTTTTTCTTTATCTAATAGTTGCTATAAAATGTGGCTTATAAAACCCCCTTTAACCCTTTTATCTGACCAAGTACTACTCATTTTGTTAGGTTCAATATCAAAATTAGTCCATCAGAAAGTCATCTCTTGCCAACAAAGGCTGATATAGGGCCTTTCTGTATCTCAGAGTACAATTATATTGAAATTACCTGTTTAATCCTACTGTCACAATCACTAGTTATAAGATCCTATACAGTAGGGTCTGTTTCTTATTCATATTTTTATATTCAGTGCCTAGACCAAACTGACACATGTAGGTGTATAATGAATAATTGGTGAATGAATGAATAAATAAATTGGCCAAGATAGCTTAATTACCAGTTTTAAGTTGTAAGCTTATCATTGCTCAGTCCTACACAGGCCTCGCCTCTAGCAACCTTATTTGGAGTTAGCTGCAAAAATATGATCTCTGTATACTACTGTCCAATGTAGAAATACTGTGGCCATGTAGATAAAATTGAGAGCCCATACTGTAAAGAGGATGATGGTATTAGAGGTAAGAAATATTCTCAAATTGTACCAACTCATCACTCTTTGATTCTTCCCCATAGTGGTTACTTTCTCAGGTGGGCATAGGATGAACTGTTCTTAATTTATATAGGAATTTGGATGGGAGAGGTGAAAGGGACATGATCTAAATAATTTTACCATGATATATCATCTCTTAGTTGATGATTAAGAAGCATCTTATTTGCCCATAGCTATCTCTTTTTTCAGTGGGAAAAAATATGTTTAAAAATATGATAGATTCAAATTATTTGAAGATAGGAAATAAAGAAGGCAAGATGATACCACTAAAAAACCTAGCACCTAGATGACCAGTGGTAGCTCTCAATTAGCACACATTTTTTATTTGAAATTTTTATTTTAAATGTCACTTTGGCAACTAGAGGAGTTTCTCTCTTTCTAAAATGATGTAGCATGGGGTGGGGGGGCACACCTCATCCACAAGGGTACATGCACAATGAATATTTGTATACCTCACCCTAAATTGTACCCCACAATTTTAAAATAAAAATTAAAAGAGGAAAAAAATAAATAAAATAAAATTACGTAGCAGATCTTCACCTACTTTTGTGCATGCAAGTGTTTTGTATTTCTAAAATTACTATATTTTTAGGTTGTTTGTAATAAGATAATGCTCATATTTAGCATGAAGATACTCTTAGAAATAAAGAATATATTTAATCTGAGCTCTTGAATAGCATTATGGTACAGGTTCAAGAGTTCTAGGAAAAGAATTAAAAAAATAAAAACGGAATCCAAATGTTAATCCATAAATATGAAACTTTCCTGTGCCCTTTACCCCTTCAAGGTCTGGAGTTACTAATGGGGTTAGGATTTCAACGCTTAATGGGGCTCAGTGCATTAGTGTTTTGTATGCATGGAATTCAGCATTCAGTTTAATAAGTGGTTGACATTGGTGATGTCCCTTAATTTGCTTAAATCTAATTGGCTCTTTTATCAGTCAAACCTGTATGGATTGGCAATTGATCAGAAAGGGTCAGCCATGACTCTGCATGTAGTTAAATGATGGAACCACCAGTTAAAGTCACAGTTGCATGATAATAAGCAAAGGAAGAACAAATGAGCTTAGAGAGGAAGGCAAAGAAGCTTAGAAGTTTTGCAGGATCTTCAAGTTCAGAACAAAGGCATTATGGAGTATATAAATTTTAAATACACTGCATTTTGCCTCCAGACTTAAACCTTTTTTTTCCAGATGAACTGAAATCTTGTCTGAAACTGTCTTTGTTACATCAAAGAACTACTCAGAAAGCTAAAAGAGACAGAAGAAGCATAAAAGGGCATAGTTTAAAATGATTAGTGACAAATTCCATACTGACGAGCTAGAAACATATTTTTTATGAAAGTTTTCTATTTTTCCAAAAGGAATAATTTTCTTCTGTTTATCTTTTTCTGAACTACATTATTGGAAGACTGAAAGGAACTCAGAGCCACCTTAGATTGTGAACTTAACCCTGTTTTCCTCTGATAGTAAATAATTTGTCGTTTATGCCTTTAAATTGATGAGAATTATTATAATCTATAAACTTCATAAAAAATACTAGGCTGGAGGAACCTATTTATTTTCCAGAATGTATTATTACAAAATCAAAAACTGAGTGGTACAAAACAGATATGAGTGGTTTGTTTTACAAGGTCTTTTCGACTGTTTCTTCTTCCGTGAAACCCCCTCCCCCACCTAAA